GCGACTCTTCTGATATTTTATTTCTCGCGAAGTGGACCGCCGTACACAGCCTAGTTCTATTCACCTTAACTCTCAGCCATATCATAGCGACACGCGTTGGTTTAGACTAATCTTGTATGACCTGTATTTTTAAAAATTTCATTGACCTCTGCGATCAAATGACTGGCAACAAAGAAAGACTTGGGTCCATTTAAAATTCACAGAGCTGTAGTTGATTCCAGTCGATCGGTCAATCTTCCCTTGAATATAATGAAAATCCTTCATTCTTATCCTCGAAAGAGAAAAGATACAAGAGGTCTTCAAATGTTTCAGATCGGCGACCTGTCATCGTTCCTGGCTGGAGAGCTGACTTGCATCCGGTGCGGAGATTTGTTTGTTTCATGGTCGGGTTGTACAGAAGACCAGACTCGTGTTTTGATGACCAGCATTTTGATGAACAATTCTATTTCAATTAAGTTCAATTTGTTTAAATTCACTGCAGATCCTGGAGGCAAAGGCCCGCATTTTTGTTTGACATTGAACAAAATCACTTTCCGCTTGATCGTACAGTAATTCCACAGTCACGATGAATTTCTGAAGTACCACTCGATAACAGCTTGTCTCAACTCTGAAGCATTTGACATATTTTGTACGTGACAACGTAGAGCCGGTACGCCGTTTCATAAACTTGTAGCATTTGAATAATACGCAATTAAATGGATCTTAAGCTTTTGAATCGCACACACGCGAAAATATTGACATAGTTCGCGATGTTATTATTTTCCATTGTTGCTCCATTCGACTTCTGTCAGCGCAAAACCAGCGGGTTGCATACAAATTAGCTTCTCAGGAATATTTAGGCTGTACACGTGACCAGCCGATGCCAGGGCCTTTTCCCGCCCCACCCTTTTTTTAAGGGAAAAGCCCTGGGGACGAGGTTGTTACCTGGTGTGGCAGACCGGGCTACCCACCTTGAAGGGTGACCCTACCTATCATGTAAACGTGATCAAATGAAAATGAGAGATTATATGGACAGGCGGGTTACCTCACCTAAGTGGGTTACCATGCCTACCCGGGGTCCCCCTCCTCCACGTAAACAGGCCCTAAAAGTTAGCCCGCCCCCTTTCTACAGTTTCAGCAGTTAAACCATTCACCATTTATAATTTGAGTCAATCTTGTACCTCTTGAGTCTCACTTTTACGACTTGATAAGCTGTTATTATTTTTGGACATGAGTGCTTCAGTGCCAAATGTAGAGGCTTCATGATAAACTGTGCTGTTTTTTGAAGTTGGGCTAACTTGTTTCTTTTTTCGTTTATGAGACCAGATTCTTTTTTGTTTGTTTTTGCTTTGTAAAGCTTAGACAAACTGCGGGAATTGTAAATGATATGACTTGTGCCACGGTGCTTGCTTCTCTGTCAAAACATGCACTTGCGTCAGGCAGATAACTGGATAAAGAGAGACTGAAAGGCATCCAGGCCTGTGTTAAGCTCAAAAATAAATTACCTCGCTAGGAAAGAACTATTTTGGATTCTGTTATTTCGTTATTTGCTCTTCATGAATAGCTGTCATAAATCCCTGATAATATGTGATACAACAGACTCTTTGACAATTTCTTTTTTCTGAAATTTTGTGTGTGAATCGCTATGCCATACGCTTTCTTCAGCTTAAAGTGACATGTAATGACAAGTAATACTTGATAAATAAGACTGAAGCCACACAATAAAGCCTCCTCTAATTGAAGTACATTAGAAAAGGAGAAGAGAACCCCAGAAGCTGAGTACTGGCAAGTTATGAAGCAAAGACGAGGCCATCTTAGAAATGACTTATGAAAACGTGGGCGGACTGTGGACTTGCTTTAAGGGCACAGTAATAATCAACTTAATTGTACAATCAATAAGCTAATAATGGATGGGAATGCCAGATGTTCGAGTGAAATTGTTGTTTGCAACATGAGAATAGAATTCAGAGTGATTTAAGGTATTAAATAACAATTTTCAATCAAAACACCACAGGGACCCCAGCAGGTGAAATTGACAATAATTAAATCCTGTTTAGCACGCTTCAGTGGCATATTTGCATTGGGCACCCCCTCTAATATTCATGGTACTGCAATAAGCTATCGCTGTGCAAAGTTTGGTGCTTTTGTCAGCTCTGTAACGATCCTGACCTTAAGAGACCTGACTAATATGAGCGATAGCTCGTTTAAATGCAAATACGCGTCTGTTTAAAAAGCTGAGCTTAAAATTCCAGCTCCTGAACATTTGATTTGAAACGGTAAGACACTCAAGATTATAAATTTTACTCGCGGACTAAGTAAGGACAACAAATTGGACGTTGTTTAAAAATATAGCTGATACAATCATGAGAGGCGAAAAGGTAGAAAAAGCCCTTCACGGCCCTGAATTTTCTCGAATAGTATAGGAAATTCCTTCGGCCAAATAACCTGCGAGTTGCGAGTACGGAAGTAAACGACAACCGGAAACACGTTCGCGTTGGAGGACAAGTCAGCGTAAGTCTGCATTCTGCTGCAAATGCTGACAGGGCAGAAAATTCGCTGTATCATCACCAGTGCGCATTGCATGCTGGGTCGAGGACCGTGCATAAATAAACAAGGCCGGTTTTGATACATGTAGGTATTGTAGCAGGAAGGGTTGAGGCCGTGAAAATTAAGCGTTTGGTTCTTCTCTCGTTTTTGGTTCTCCTTTTCACAATTTTAGTATTCAGGAGATATAAAATGGTAGTAGCTCGTGGTGTTGATCGGATCGAAACATCCCGACAGATCAATACAATACAAAACAAGACATTGAGCCCACCTGCTATTTAACTAAATTTTTAGAGAGAACATTTCTGATCGGCCTTACATTGACAGTGTACACGAGATATATAAAGTACAATGATTCCCAGTACGTTTGCACGTAGTACAAGTTTGACTGGTATAAATCTTGTACTGACTTCTGTGATTATCTATTTTTATTCCTTAAAATGTTCCATTTTCTTTATCATAACACTAGCAGCACTTTGTTTTGTCTTTCTCAGGAGAGCGGAAACATCAAGACAGTGCTGGGAACAGTGGTGTTTTGAAACCAGGTTGGGTACAGTGGATGACTGCAGGTTCTGGTGTTGTGCACAGTGAAATGCCTTCGGACGAAGTTTTAAAGAAAGGTGGAAGATCAGAGGGATTCCAGCTTTGGGTGAACTTACCGGCAAAAGACAAGATGATTAAACCACGATACCAGGACACTGACGCTAAAAAAATTCCCGTAGTTACCAGCGAAGGTACTTGTACTGTTGAAATATTACTGTCTTGTATCTGACAAAGAATTTTTAGAATATTAGCAACCCTCGGACCTGAAAACGCTTTAAGCCCCAATACCTGCATACAATTAACCCTTTAAGCCCCAATATCCACATACAAATTCTCCAAACTAGTCTTTATACATTTCCTTAAGGAATAAGTTGAGAGAATTTGGTAGAAGATCAAAGCATTATCTCTAAGGTGATCATATTATTAACTCTCATAACCATTTCTCTTAGTAACATGTGGATATTGTTTGGGAGAAAATTGATCTTGGTCATCATCCGGACTTAAAGGGTTAATTCTCCAGACTGATCTTTATACATTTCCTTAAAGAATTAGAATCAGAAGCGCCATACACAGCGAGACCATATGTGAGAATGGGAAGAACTAGGGTTTTAAACAAGTGATCTATTTCCTTCTGGCTAAAGAGTTCCTTTCGTAGAGTTCTGAGAATGTGAAGACACTTGTTAGCTTTTGTAAGCTTGAGTCTGACGTGCTGGCTAAATTTACAATTAGGCTGAAAAGTCAGTCCGAGTAATACAAGGGTATCACATTGAGGAATGTTATTGATGGGAGCGTACTGATGGCGTGTACCGCTACTTTCCTTCTTTCTAAATATCAGTTATTTACACTCACAGCCACGTAATTTCTATGTTAATGTTTAATATATTGTTGTTGTTCCTTTCTCTCTTACTTTACTTTTATCTTATTTTATTTTATTTGTTGTTTTATTGATTGTTTTGGTACTGAAATCTTCATGAGATAAAGTCATTAAGTTGCAATAAATAGGACAACACTGTAGGGGGGGGGGGGG